TATAAAATAAAATTAGATCCTCTCTAATACCTGAAAACATCTTTACTGAATAATTACGATCCATTGTTAACTCCGTAATTATGGTACATTGCAAGACTACAGAGTTGAACACTAGTAGTCGTAAACCCAAAAAGTTATGTCGGCTGTTCAACGTTGGCTATAAAATAAAATTAGATCCTCTCTAATACCTGAAAACATCTTTACTGAATAATTACGATCCATTGTTAACTCCGTAATTATGGTACATTGCAAGACTACAGAGTTGAACACTAGTAGTCGTAAACCCAAAAAGTTATGTCGGCTGTTCAACGTTGGCTATAAAATAAAATTAGATCCTCTCTAATACCTGAAAACATCTTTACTGAATAATTACGATCCATTGTTAACTCCGTAATTATGGTACATTGCAAGACTACAGAGTTGAACACTAGTAGTCGTAAACCCAAAAAGTTATGTNTAGAACCCGACACTCGAAATTTTTGCTCTGTTACAATCGTACCCTGTTACAATTGACCCCACTCTCCCCTATAGTCAAATAGTCCATCACAGAGTTAAGTACGATTTTGCACGATTTCTATAATTTTTGAAATGGATCCGCGATGATTCAGAGCATTCGCCTTCCAATGAGATGAACCGGGTTCGAATCCCAGCGATGGCTGGTCGATACGAATTCTGCATCCAGTTTGCTTCGACCACAGTGCAGACGTGAAATATCCTCAGTGGTAGACGGATCACGGGTTAGAACCCCCTTGCAGTTAGGTTAATCGTGGGAGGTCTTCGTGGTCTTCCTCTCCATGAAACGTAAATGCGGGTTAGTTCCATCAAAAAGTTCTCCACGAAGGCAAAATTTCTTCCACTACTTGATCCAGCAGTTCCCTTTTCTTCTGGATTCGGTTCAAAATTACAAGACTACGGAGTTGAATTATTAGTAGCCGTAAACCCAAGAAAATTGGTTTAGGCTGTTCAACGACTGGTATAAAATTTTAAAAAAAATTGAGCTGTAGTTTTTTATTAATATATTAACCTAAGCTCAAACCGTAATCTCTCCCGTACTTCTGACATAATCCAACTAATCTGAAAAGTCTATTATTTTTGAACACTCTTGTTTATATATTTTCCAAATCCTTGTAAAAAATAAAGTCTTATTATTTAAAGTATGATTTTTTTTTCAAGCTTTGTCTTATCATTTATTAAATATTTAATCCATGCTGCCCATGTGGATTAAAATGCTTTTCACTAATTAATCACCTTTTAGCTTATTTCGAGTCAATTGATCCATCAATTATTATATTTATATATCTTATCCAAATTTTGAATCATTAATGACATACTTTTTATTCGTCCACTTAAGTTCAAATACATTTTTATTTTCACTTGTAGTGGATGATTCATTTGATGTTAATACAGTTTTTTCAAACATTAATTCATTCATTAAATTAAATTAATTAATTTTAGTGTTATGTGGGTGAAAAAATTATAATTTTTAATAATAAGTAACTAAAATAAAAATTTTCCTTGTTGACCTAAGTAGAAATTTACTTAAATTTTTTTTCTTCATATTACTTGTTTGTTTGCTGGTTGCCACTCAAATCTGGAAAAAAAAATTCCTTGTGTTTTCCCTGTACATATTATACACAATATCTTAAGAGGAAGCACATCAATTACTGTGCACTTGTGTGAGAGCTATATTGGGCTAACTATATTTATTAGTTTTAATTGCTGGAAAAACAGCTGAACATACTTAATAGTAATGCTATAATAGTACATAAAATAGTTTAGTATAGCTGAAATATCATTGTTAAATATCCTATAGATTAAGCTTCGCGCGGTCACCATTTTTTAAAGGACAAAAATCAGAAACAAAATTCTCTATATTTTTCCAGTTTGTAAAGAAAAAAAAATCAAAACTCCCTACATTTTCCCAGTTTGTAAAGAACAAAAAAATCAAAATTCGCTGTATTTTACCCGTTTGTAATGAAAAAAAGATCAAAATTCCCTGTATTTTCCTAGTTTGTAAAGAAAAAAAGATCAAAATTCCCTATATTTTCCTAGTTTGTAAAGAAAAAAAGATCAAAATTCTCTGTATTTTCCTAGTTTGTAAGGAAAAAAAGATCAAAATTCCCTGTATTTTTTTAGTTTGTAAAGAAAATAAGATCAAAATTCCCTGTTTTTTCCTAGTTTGTAAAGAAAAAAAGATCAAAATTCCCTGTATTTTCCTAGGTTGTAAGGAAAAAAAGATTAAAATTCCCTGTATTTTCCTAGTTTGTAAAGAAAATAAGATCAAAATTCCCTGTTTTTTCCTAGTTTGTAAAGAAAAAAAGATCAAAATTCCCTGAAGTTTTCCATGTTATTTTAGGCGATTTTTAAACTCAATGTATTTTTTTGGTTTTCCCTGTTCTCCCAGTAAAGTGGCAGCCCTGTTTGATATTTGAATATAAATAAAACGAATATGAATTCCTTTGAATAATGAAAAGCCATCACAAGTTATGATATCACACTGATTTATTGCTTTTTTAATTTCTTTTTCTCCACACACACTCTCTCTTTAAGGAAAAATCATTCTATGTACAGAAATAACAACAAAAATGTTTACATTCTTTTAGCATATTTACAAAATGTGAATCATTCAATAATAAGCATTAACATGAGCTTTTTGACTTTCTTTCTTACAAATATCGCTTTTTTGTTTACAATTAGCGAGCAATAAATAATTGTGTTTTCTTTTTTTCGTGAATGACAATAACATTCATTGGTAAAAGGTGTAAATCAGCAGGTCAAAGCTGATTCAACACGTGTGACATAACATATTGAACAAAAAAACTACAAGGTGGGACTATTAACTTCCAGAACTGATCTGATAGCTCCTGAAATTTTACGTGAATTATGTTCCACTTTTTAAGTATAGTTGATACCATTTACCCTCTTTTAATGCACTTTAGTAGGTTGTAAAAGTTTCTGAAAACGAATTTTAAAGTCCTTGTTTAGAATAATCTTGAATTTTGATGTTCTTCATAACTTTGACATTTTTGAACTTTTCGATTCGTAAATTAAAAACATGTAAGATGTTGATCCGAAGAGCCGATAATTATTATAACCGATTCATTCTCACTCACTTTGAATATTTTTCCAACTGAGATGTAGTGGGGACGGAACGCACCGGCGCGACGTTCCGGTAGCTTTTAGTCAGACGGAATGTGGTTCTGGAACTATGATGAACACATTAGTCAGTTTCATTCTCACAAATTTTGAAACCAAATATTTTGCAAACCGAAGTGTTGTGGGATCGAAACGCACCGGTGCGACGTTCCGGAAGCTTTTAGTTAGGGAGAATGCGGTTCCGGAACTTTGATGAATAAATTACTCAGTTTTATTTCGTGGTCTTAATTTTTTTTAATAAAAAATTATAAAAGCATTTTCTTTCTGAAAAAAAGTTTTATTGTAACCCGATAGTACTTTCTCAAGCGTTTGAAGTTAATAAATAATTGTTCTAGATTAAGGCATTTAATCTATTGCGAAATTAGTCATCTATAACTCCTATATTTCTCTTTTTAAATATAATTGCTATGAAACTTTATTTTTATGAAAGAAAAAGTGTAAATAAATAAACAAATAAAAATATTTAGAATTGTTTTGGGGTAAATGGGGAGAAAAAAAATAATGAAGAGACGAAGGATAAAGAAATAAGGAAATATAATGAAATAATACTTAATGAAATGTACATTTTGTTAGCACTACTTTATTACAAAGAAACAAGCAAAGTTTGAAAGGCATTAAGAAAACTTTAGAATTGAAAGCACTAGAACGAGAGTACCAATAGCACCACGTCTGTGTGATCTTAGGTCTGTGTGATCAAGGCTCTGAACGGGTTAAGACTTTAATGGCAGTTAACAGAAAGGAATATCCATTTAGTCTAAGCAATTATGTACAGTGCTAAAAAAAAATGAACAAAACACCCTGACTAACTTTTTATCTAATGATTGGATTTTCACACGCTGTAAAAAATTGCTCTAATTTTTACGTATGTTGCAATGATAAAAGAGCACTTTTTGCTGGGAAATTGGCTTTTCTTAGTCACGTGGGCCAGATATCCAATAGGAACAATTACTGCCGAATGAAATCGTTTGCAACCATTTCCCACCGATTTTAAAACGTTTGACTTGCATTTCTTTTTTTCTCTCTTTTTTTTTACACAATATTAATTAACTTTTATATTATGGTAGGAGTGCTGGTTGAAAATCAATTGAATTTCGTCGAAGCTGATGAAATTCTCCCGTTTTAAGGCAAAAATTTGATTTATAAAACTGGAAAACTCAAGCGGGGAGGGAAAGAACATCTTTTATTAGAATAGTGCTATAAGAACATACTTAAGACTAGATTTAAGAATTTTCCCAGAAATTCTTTTTTACCTATTATCTATTAACATTAATTATGCAAAATGCTGCATTTTAATTTACAATGATCAAATTGAAACTTTTAACTTTAAACTTCAAAATTGTTAAATTTTTTCGTAGGAAACAAAAAAGGCGATTAATTTAAAAACCTGTACAGTATATTTAATTACAATATTATTTGTAAGCGTGTGCATTATTATTTAAAAAAGTCTTGCATTTTTATTATGTACGTTTATTTCATTGATTTTATGTAGTAATGACTTGTTCTAGTTTCCATATTTAATATAATAATTGTACGTATCATCGTACTAATAATTTCTGGGACACAATATAAAATAAAAGGGTTTATATTGTAGCGGAATTCTTTAATTTTTAAGGAATTCGAAAGTTATTCCTAGTGTTTCGTTTATTTATTTTGCACACTGTACTACCACGTATTTCATAGAGAATTGTTTTGTATCTGGACATCAATAGGTAAAGTCAGAGAGATGTAAAATTAATAAATTCTTCTGATTTATAACTGTCATTAAATAGTACGTTTGTCGAATCAATTTCTCATTTTCCCGTGAGAAAATGAAATTCTCAAATTCGGAGAGTAAAACGAGTTTTTTACACATCCAACACATCATTTAAATAAGCTATATAACATATGGCTAATCTAAGAATTTCTATTTTTGAAAGTTTTTTATCAGGGGGCAGGGTGGGCAGTAATTTTCTAAGTTCCGCAAAAGCTACATTGAATGCCTCGACCCTTATGCGTTCTCTCGTTGCGTGGGCGAGGCGATATTTCTGTGTGGCTCGCCGCCTTCGTCGCCTCTCCTCTCTCGTCAGGTGACCCAAGGATTCACTTCTCCTTCTCTGCGCTCCACTAGGGGGAGTCCCTAGGGCTCCCTCCTGAGCATCTAGGGCTTCTGGGTGATGCTGTGAGGCCTGCCTGCTGACTGGCGGTGTGACGAGAGCTGTCGCCCCATGATCATCGTGAGAGGAAGAACGGCAGTCTGTACTGTAGACGTACATCTTATTTTAACTTCCAGCTTCCATCCATCACATAATTCCTACAATGATAGAGTTTAAATTTAATATTTGAAGGAAGAAAAAAAATCTTATACAGTCAGACCTCTATTTAACAAAATCGCTGAATCTCCAAAATAAGTTCGTTATATGGAAAATTCGTTAAATAGAAAATCACCTTTTGAAATATACTTAAACGACCCAAAACAGGTTTTAAATTCATAAACACTAGACATAATTAAAATTGCAATTGACGTACCTTTATCTTGTAAATTAGTATCTACTATTTATTTCATAAATCTTAGCCATAAACGAAATCTACATGGAAAGCAAGNCACAGGACCTTCTATGGGCCGAAACGAATGCCGCCCCCTAAAATTATTCCTCATAAGGCATACATCCCACTAATTTATTTCAAAATTGGCGAGTCACACTTCCCTAGTTTCCCTTGTTAGCCATAAACGAAATCTACATGGAAAGCAAGAATGTGGAGCAAAACATTAACCAGTACATGCTACATACATTTTCAACTAAAAAAATTTATGTATAAAATTATAGCTGCATTTATTATAAAAGTAATTTTAAACATAGATTACCACATGCATTCTTAAGTTTAATTACTACTGATAATATCCGTTAATTTTGTTCAGAGTTTTTCGTTCAAAATTCAAACAAAGAGGGAAAGGGATTTTACTGCTTTTTCTAAAAGTTAATTGGGTATACTATAGCCTACGTCACAGATCGTGTTATTCCTACTAAATTTAACTAGTAAACAGCATTTTCTGCGAACCTGATTTCTAGCAACAAATAAAAGAATCAAACGAAGTGTCTTGTTATAAGTCGCTACTCGCCAGGTTGGAATTGTATTAGTCTAGTTCCTTTGGAAATAATTTATATTGTAGTTTTACCGAGGTTTATGAATTTAGTAAGCATATTTAAAACTCAGTTTATTAATTAAACTAAAAGGTAAATGTTATTCCTAGTAAGTGGAAGTAGTTGTGCTTTTTTCATATTATACCCATTTGGGTACGAAAAACAATCTAAGGTTAATTCCCCCATAAAATGCGTCAACAAGTTTAATATGTTTTGAAATATTTTGGGAAATGGGGAAAGTGGATCTCAAAGAAAAGTTCGTAAAATATAAAATTCACTTCGCAATTTGGAGGTTATTTTAAGAAGAAATTTCAAAAAGTTCTTGGTTCCTCGAAAAAAATTGCAAAATGGAGAAGTTCGCAAAATAAAAGTTCGTTAAATAGAAGTTCGACTGTACTTCCAAAATATAGGGCAAAATTAGGAAGTCTTGCTGCTCGCATTATTAATACTAGCCACTTTTTTAAAACATAAGGACTATTTTTTTTTCAAAAATTAAAAAAATTTTAATAGATTAAAAAATTATTGATATTAGAAATGTAATGTATTTCTTTTGAAACTTTTCTCAAAATGTAATAAAAGGTTCTTTTCTAGAATGACGAAAAATTTTAAGATCAAGTGAATTATAAAGGGATTTTTAAAATGTTATAAATATTTATAATAATTTCATATATATTTAAAAGAAATGATAGTAAAATACGTATGTAGTGTATTTTCAACGAAAATGGGGGGCGATTAGGTGACAACTTTCAGATAGTAATTTTATAGTTGCGATTTATTATGCAGTTAAACCCCGGTATTTAGGTTCTATTGTAGATAAAAAAGTTGGAAGTAGGGAAGATATTAGACAGAGAATAATCAAAGCAAGAACATGTTTTAAGGGATTACATAAATTTTGGAGAGAGTCAAATATTGAAATAAAGACAAAAATAGTTGTTTACAAAGCTATTGTTAGAGCAGTACTATTATATGGCGCAGAAACCTGGAAACAGACTAAGATCGAAATACAAAAATTAGAAACCTTTCAAAACAAATGTTTAAGATTTATTTTTAAAATTTTCTGGCCTTACAAAGTATCAAATCAAAATCTATTAAAGAAAGCTAAAATAAAAACAATCGAAGATGAAATTAAAAAACGAAGATGGAGCTGGCTCGGACATATCCTTAGAATGCCCAAAGAAAAAATTTCATCTGTTGCGCTTACATGGGCCCCTGATGGTAAAAGAACTAATTGAAGACCCAGACTTACCATCCAGCGCATGTTTTTGGGCGAATTAAAAGAATGTGGAATATCTGGCTGGGAGGAAGCAAGATCTATTGCTAAAGACAGGAGGCGTTGGAGGGATATGCTAGAGGCTTTAAGTGCCCAAGGCACGTAGAGGATAAGTAAGTAAGTAAGTAAACCCCGGTATATTGAATCTTCAAGGGACCGAAATTTCGGTTCACTATAACTGGAAATATTTCCGTTCCGCAAACAATTTCAACTAATGGTTCCTAACTTCACCCCCTTTTATTACAAGACATTATTTAAATAAATGACAAATAAAATAAAATACAAAAATGACTGAAAAATAATACGTAGTAACAAAAATATGTTAACTTTTATTTTTTATTACTCTTCATCTTGCGCACGGAGAAAAAAATAAGTAATCTTTAGCTGATGAGCAATCCTCAACTTCAGATATGGTAACACTCAGATAATTTTTCCTCAATTTATGTTATTCCAAGTTTTAAACCTGCCATTCGATCACATAAAAGTAGTTCTCTCCTAATCGCTCAGAATAATTCATCTGCTTTGACTTGAAGCATTTGTCCAGATACTGGAAGATTACTGGCTTTGTTTAATGTTGAACCCTTGGCGAATTCTTTGGTATTCTTTGGCCAAGGTCGAACCAATTCAAAAATGAAGCAAGCAAGAAAAAATGCTTATTGCTACATTCCATATGCTATGGATGGTTTCAAAAATCGGTATATGTATTTATTTTGAAGTAGAAATTTCAAAATTATTACAAAAAAATAAAGAAAATAAATCAGTCGAAGCCAGAAAAATATATCCAACTTTCTTTTTTTTTTGGTTCACTATATCCACAAAAAATAACGTGCGTGTGTAGCAAGGCATGGGAGCGAACATTTCGTTCACTATATCCGGGAGTTCACTATAAACCGTGTTCACTATAGCGGGGTTTCACTGTATTTAGTCTTCTTGTGGCCTGTGGCAACCATTAATTTTGCTCTATAATTCAAAAATACTTACGTGAGGACTTTCAAAAACTATGAAAGCACCTAAAAGGAGAGAGGGAAGTTTGTGATTTGCTTATTTTTGCTAACACGGGGAAAAGGAGGGGGGTATTGTTTATTTATACCTCGACTCGCCCTATTCAGGGCACACGAGAGTAGAACAAACATTCTACAGACAAAACATACATAAAACACAAAAAATTACATTAGCAACAAGTATAAATGACATATAAAGAATAAATTAAAATATGAAAATATTTACACTATAAAATACAAAGGCATAGTGAAATGCCTTAAACAAAAAGCATAGGAAATAATCTTAATGTAACTTTAAACTAAAGCACAGAAGTTAAAATGCATTTTAACTCTAAAATTAAGTATTAGAGAATAAATATCATTAATTGAAGCAAAATATTAGAATCTCAAAGAAGTTTAAGATACAAAAGGTTCAAAAATCATGGATAACCTGAGAGTTTGACTAAAACAAATATTGTAAGATGAGTTGATAGAGGGGGGGGGTATAAGTAAAGGCTTACATAAGACATTAAATTCCCTTGATTTTCATAACTTTCATGAAATAAGAAATAAAAAAATGAAATACCAAAAAAAAAATTCACATTTAGAATAAAAGTTAAATTTGGGGGGAAAAAAGTTTAAATTTTTTTTTCTCGAACTGTCTTATGGGTACGAACTGTCTTATGTTTGTGTTTTTATTAATGTTTTAAACAATAGTGCAATAGCAATAGCAATATGACACATCTATTCATTATATGCCATCAAAGCAATAAAGAAGTAATGTAAAAAAAGTTTTTAAAGTCAATTCTATCTTAGATCAATAAGGAAAAATTTTATTTTAGTTACTTTTTATTTAATAATTACAATTTTACTCTCCCACATAAAACTAAAATTAATTAACTAAATTCAACTAATGAATTGATATTTGAAAAAAAACTGTATTAAGATCAAGTGTCATACACTACATGCTTTAAAAAATGTATTTGAATTTGAGTGAATGAATAAAAAGTATTTTATTAACGATTGAAAATTCGAATTAAAATGTAGTAGAATAGTAGGAATTAAAATGAAACAAGAAACTTAGGAGTAAAATAAAGTTCAACTGCAAGAATAAGTTTTAAGTTGATGATTGTTCAACATCTGAAAATCTAATACTTTCTAAAAATAAGATAGTGCTGGGAATAGTTTATTAAGCTGCAACTAGGGTATTCAGAAGAAAGAAAAAAAATAAACCTGAGATCGCTGGCCTAGACCTGAAATAATATAAATCGAAAATTTATTGTTCTTTCTCAAATCATTGATAAATATTTCTGTCGTCTCATTATATATGCTTACAGACATTAGGTCTTCTTCCCAAGTTTTAACGACAATAAGTTTTACGATGTTTATTTTGTACGACTAATAGTAACCGACCTACCCCCGAAGTAGTTTTCGGATAAGGGTTTCACCCGTTGTCACGTGAACTAAACACTACAAAATTACAGAAAAGTAAAATCAAAACTGATACACATAGAAAAAATCACAAAATCGAATAGATGATAAAAGTAAAACAAAATGCTCAAAAAAAGCTAAAAGCGCCTTAAACATCTAAGTGACTAAAATTAACCATCAGTAAAAGTGTCAAAAATACAGGTAAAAATATATAAAAGTAAGGTCAGGTAAAACTACGAAAAATTGCATTAAATACATATAAGACTAAAATAAGATTAATAGAATAATTAAAATAGTGGACTAAAAGTTCAAGTGTCCCCCTTTCAAGGCTAAATGCCGCTAGGATTAAAAATGTTCTAAGGTAAACCAAAGTTTCTCTAAAAAGGTTAATATTCAAAGATGACAACAGGTAAGACTGATAGGGTGTTGAAGTTCACCAAGATCAAAATTTC